GATGAATTAGCTTTGCGTATGGGTTTGAAAATGTAAGAGAGAGAGAGAGAGAGAGCTTTCGAATGCTTTTAGACAAAATTTACTCTTTAGAAAATAATATAGTTTCTGATTCTAGGTATAATGTCTATGAAGTAATTGTTTACATAAGATTATAAGATAAATAAAAAGGAAAATAAACGCTGAGAAATTCTGAACCAGGTTTTGATTTTTCGTTCGCAACGTCGTTGATACGGAAAAATATGTGTAGTTCATTTTTCTACCATATCTAATTTTTGATTAAGCAATCATAAAAATAATTGTATTCAAAGTAGATATTTTTTGTGGCCTGGTATGATAATGACATTCTTCGATGCTCAGCACAGTAGAGCTATTTACCACTAAAATTTTATTATTATTGTTACTTTTAACTATCCAAATCTGGTTTTTATTTGATTCATAATAAAACCGACAGACCATTTGGGATTTTTTGTAAAATATTCGATAACTTTTTTGTGGCCATGGTAGCCTAGTGGTCAAGGTAACGAACTTGTAGCCGGCGTGTCATGAGTTCCAGCTTAATGCAGCTGAAGACCAGCAGTGTAGATGGAATGTCGAGGCTCAAACGTCCTCCCATTGGCGTGGTGTGGAAACTTGGAGAGGGTGGGTGCCAGCTCAGGTATCGTCCTCGTCACTTAAACAAGATTCAAAATTAAGATACATGTTACCAGCAGCCCTTGTGTTGCTTTATAGTGCCGATAAAGCACCCACTCGATAATTTTTTTTTATTCAAAGAAACTTATATTAACGTTACACACTAAAAAGCTTTTTGAGGGCTATTGGCTATAGACCTCGTAATTTTGAATCATGGTCAAGTGATGAGGATGATACCTGAGCCAATTGGAGGACGTTTGAGCCATGGCAGATTTAACGTGCAGCGGCCCCTTATATACGGCGGGTCTTCAGCGGCACTAGGCTCGAACTCATGACACGCCAGCCACGAGGTCGTGATCTTGACCACTAGGCTTCCACTGCCCCTTAATAAGTGTTACAAGTTTTCTTATCAGTTTCGTTTCATATTTGGAATTTTAAATTTTAAGTTAAATGTTCATGAATTTTTTTTAAAAATTAATTCCGAATTGCTATGATTTTTAGAACATTATTTCGATATTTACACCAATGTTGAAGCAACAATATTATATATAAATCGAATGCTTTAGTGTGTTTAAGATTGAAATTTGAGCTTATAGCAAAAGGAAATTATTATTTACATAACATTAATTAATATTGCTATAAAGATTAAAAAATAGACAATTTCCCCCTCTTTGTAAAAAAAAATTCTCTTTTCATACTGTTAAACTTGGTGTTTGGATATTTCGGTTTTGGAAAAAAAAACCCAGATATTATTTTAATATGACGAAAATTCTCTGAAAAATCTGGCATCACAAATAAATTAATTTCCAAATATATATATATATATATATATATATATATATATATATA